GAGAGATGGCTCAGTGGTTAAGAGCACTGACTGCTCTTCCAGAGGATCCGGGTTCAATTCTCAGCACCCACATGGCAGCTACTGCTGTCTGTGGCTCCAGTTCTAGGGGACCCGACACCCTCACACAGACATACACACTGCTTAATGCACATAAAATAAAAATAAATTATTTTTAAAAAATAAATGCTTGGCCTATCACTTAGGCTCATCTCCAGCCAGCTCTTACAACTTAAATTTACCCATTTAGTCTGTGGGCTGTCTTGTGGCTCGTTTACCTCCTCTACAAACTTCACGTGTTGCTTCTTTCGAGTCTCACTTGAGACCCCACAAACTTCTTCCCAGCATTCTCTCTGCCCTAAAAATTCTGCTTAGTTATTGGCCAATCAGCTTTTTATTAACAATGAGAGCAACACATTTTCACAGTGTACAAAAGGATTACTCCACAATGTGTGCGTGTGTGTGTCTTGTCTGCCTGTCTCTCTCTCTCTCTCTCTCTCCCTCTCCTTCTCCCCCCCCTCTCTCTCTGTGTATGTGTGTGTGTGTGTCCCTCTCTCTCTCTCTCTCTCTCTTTCTCTCTCTCTCTCTCTCTCTCTGTGTGTGTGTGTGTGTGTGTGTGTGTGTGTGCACCTGCCTGATTTTGGATGTGCATTGCTTACATATTACATCACTGTCTCTAGCTAATGAGTACGAGTACCACTACACCATTCTAGCTACATTGCTACCTACTCTTTTGTCATTAGAGTCCCAGGAGGCGGCAGAGAGGGTTGATGTAATACTCATGGGATTTGTCCAGGTATCTGAGCCCCACCTAGACTTTATGCTTCAAAGCCAAGCAGGTTGAGTAGGTCAGCTATGGCAGAGCACATGTTTGGAAAAGACGCAGACCTCAGCGTGTCATGGCCGAGCCCTATGAGATGGGATAAAAGCACTTCACACATTCTGTCTGTGGCTTTGGTCTGGTGGTTGTACCCAAGTATCGGGTTTACCGTGCACAACATGCTTAGTAGGACATGAAAGCCGTTAAAGAAGAAAGAAGTTGTGGTCCCTGCATTTATCCCACTCCTGTGTAGAATGGCGTGTCCAACAGGAGCTTGTGGCTTCAGCCATCTGGGAACCTGAGTCCTGCTGGTGTCATCGTGGGCCATCCATGTCCCAGTCCTCCCATGGCCCAGAGGCCTTACCTTCCTGGGACTTCCTGTGTCCTGTGTGTGCTCCTGTGGTTCTGTGATGGTCCCTTGCTCAGCTCCCTTCCCTCTCCCTTGAATGATGATCAGGTCTCCCCACGGTCTATAGATATCTCTGCACACTGTCTCTGCTTGCTGCCCATCATTGCTCTTACCAGTAGCATCACTGTGAGTTGTTGACTTGTCCTGCCAGCTCACCCCCTTTGGTCTTACAGTCCACAGTGTGACACCATCCCTCAGTGGTGGCACTGGATGCCTCCAAAAGGTGGGCGAGCCAAAAGCAAAGGTGGTGGTTGGTTTTCCATAGCCCACGGGAGGGATGGTGCTCCAGGCTAGTGGAAGTGATTCTGGTGTGTTCGTAGTTTTCTTCCTAACTTTGCTGGTTCAGAATACAAGGCCATGCATCCCTCAGCCCTACCATGACAAGGGTAGGATGCCTCTGTGCAGACTCCGAGTTCCTCTCTGTGGGCATGATGGCCAAGGGTGACAGACCCTCCCTGCCCCTTAGAGTTATGGAAAAGATAGCTGAACCTTAGCATGTGTGTTAGTGATGACCAATTTATGTAGAACAGTTTATGTAGACTTCGTTGGTCACCTCAGTGACCTCTGGCACCCCCGGAAGCAGCGCTGGCTGCATATTTAGAAAGTAGGCAGACCTACCCAAGGCTTTTGGGTACCTTTAAGGAAGGAGCCCAGGGCCACCATATGACAGTGTTCAAATGTCACTATGTGCCCTCACCAGTCCCTGCTGCCTGCAGCTTGGGCCTGCTCTTGTTTGATTTCTGTGCTGAAGAAAAGGACTTGATTCATTTTGTAGACTTGTTCCCCTGTTTCTGCTTCTCCATTCTTGTGGATTTTTTTCCTTTCTTCCTGTTGTTCCTTTCTCACCTTTTCTGTTTTTTGTCCTCTGCTTGTTTTTATTTCACCCTCTCCCTGTCCCTTTCCACCTCCAAATTCCTCTCCTCCTTTCCCGCTTCCTTTGTCTTTCTCTGTTTCCTCTTCCTTGTTTGGTCCTTTTGAAGTTGAGCCCAGTGGCGGGACTCCACGGCGCAGACCTCTCTCCTTCTGCCCTTGCTGTGTCCAGGAAGGTAACGTAACCTTGCCCACTCGTCCCCACTGCCTCGAGGGGCCGCAACCACCATAGTCCAACAGGGAGCCAAGGCCCAGCAGTTGTTCCTCTCTCTGACTTCAAAATGTCATGAGTATGTGGCAGTTTCTTACAAGGCACAGTATCCCTTTGACTATCTAAGGGAGGATGGGAACCGAGGGGAGCCAGCGAGTCTCTGGGCTCCAGCGTCTTCAGGCTGCAGTTCTGTGGTTCTGCCTACCATTGGTGCTTGGGTCCAGGAAGCTCAGGCCCAGCATACAGAGGGCCAGGAGTAGGGGAGGAGGACACCCCCCCACCCCATGGCGGCAGTTTGTATTGACAGAGTCAAGGAATACTGTCCTTACAAAGACTGGTCTACACAAATGCTCCCCAAGTTTTGTTGTTTCCCTCCAGAGCAACCACTGAAAACAAACTTCTCTACCTTGTGTCTTGCTGAGTGTGTCTTGTTTTGTTTTAAGTTTGTCTGGTTTGAAGTCTGTTGTGGTGATAAGATTGTCATTGGCAAGGCATGTGGGCGGGGGAAGGGGCGTGTGGCCATGACTAACCCTGCTAACCTCTTCTCTGCTCCCCATGGCTCTCATATCTGACCACCCACCCCACCACATTCCCCTGCTCATGGGTTGTGACTGAGCTCCAACATGGCTCATGAGCGATGTCCCAGTGTCCCGCCCCCCCCACCCCAACCCCCAGTGGAATTGGGGGTCTTTACATCTGGGAGGTGGGAAGGAGGGACGGACTTGGTACGCTCGTGACTTGCCACTCTGGACAACCTGCATGTCTCAAGGGCTTCATCTCCATGGCCACATGGGCACACTGTGCAGAGACGCTCCAGAAGGAATGCGTGGAACTGGGCTGTAGGCTGCTTTGAAGCCAAAGACCCAAGTCTATTGGAGTGGGGAAGGAGAGTTTGGACCCCCAGACCTGTAGGCAGGCTTGACAGGCCGGGATGGAGGCGTCCATCTTTGAAAGTAGAGCTCAGGGCCAGGAGCCTTCACATCAGGAAGAAGGGTGCATGTGTGCCTGGCATGGTCTGATACTAACCCTTGCGTATGTCAGTTCTGTCTCTAGTGTGGTTACTGGCTGAAGACTTAGGCTTAGGTCTGACATGTGACCAGCATACAGCGAAAGAGCTTGGCCTTTGACTAGTGTGATAGAGTCAGGAAGAAGCAGGCTAGAGCAAGAGAGCCTCACATGGGACCAGCACCTACCTAAGGATGCTGGCCATACTCTTATATAAACTAGGGCACTTCTTGAGACTGGACCATCCAACCAAGCAAGTGGAGGGGACTTAGAGGGCTCCAGCCTGACACCTCTTAACTTGAGGTCTGTGAATAAACTTTAGGAAGCCCTTGAACACCCCAAGTTCTGTATAAAATTACTGGATTTTGGGATGGCAGTATGCTCAGTGGTGGGGCATTGCCTAGCACATGTGAGCTTCTGTGTTTCTTCTCCAGCACACAAAAATAACATTAAAGGAAGTTTATATCCCTGTGGGCAAGGAGCCACTGTGTGCTTCCAAGGCAAGGTCACATGAACAGCTTTGTACACTAAGCAGAAGGACTTCGTTATTTCCTGGGTGATTTGATTCCTTAGAAAACCCTTCCTTGCTGGGCAGTGGTGGCTCATGCCTTTGCCATTAATCCCAGCACTCAGGGAGACAGGCAGAGGCAGACAGATCTCTGAGTCCAAGGCCAGCCTGGTCTACAGAGTGAGTTCCAGGACAGCCAGAGATACACAGAGAAACCCTGTCTCAAAAAGAGGAGAGAAAAGTCCTTCTCCCATGCTCTTGCTGCAACTAAGCCCAGGGGTGTGGCTACTCCTGATGGAGGCAAACATTGATTCAGGGGCAGCTCGATTCAACAGGTGGCCAAAGAGTAGGAACGACTGCCCTCCTCAACTCTGGGGTCTGCTGGTGACATCCACCTTGGTGCTTTGTGTCTGCCATGCAGATTCTGCTGCAGTCTTTGTCGGGCCACGTGCTAAGAAGGGGGTGATTTAGGGCAGGGGGTGTAGGTCAGTGGTAGAGCACTTGCCTGGTATGCATGTGTCTAGGTGAACGCACAACAAAACAAAGAAATGGTATCTTCCTGGCCCCGGCAAGGAAGCAGTGGTGAAGCATCAGAGGCCCCTGAAAGAGACAGCTGCTCAGGAAGAAACAGGGTCAAAAGAAAGTAATTTAAGAGCAAGGTGTAGGACTGGGCATGGTGGCACATGTGCCTGTAATCTCAGAATGTGGGAGCATGGAGACTGGAGGATCGGGAGTTCAAGAGCAGTTTGGGTTATATGAAACCTTATCTTAAAGGCAAGGTGTAGTTTGTAAATTTATATTCCTCTTGTTTATTAGACTTTTCCTCCAAAGAGACCTAGTAGCGAGGGGAGAGCGGGTCATTTCATATGCACACACACTTGCATCACTGAGCAAGGCAGCGTTAAGCTCGTATAGAAGGAACAGTCACCCAGAACAAGGCCTGGGCAGGACTGATGGAAAGTCTAGGTCTGTCAGGCCCTGGGGTGGGCACAACGCAGTGGCCTGTCATTCTCTGTCCCCTTCTCCCTGTCAAGGCTGTAGGCAAACTTTGGACCTGGCTTGGGACTGTTCCGGCAGCATCTTGCTTGGCTCTTTGCACATTTGCCCCAGTGTGATAATCCTTCTGGGCTGAGTAAACGGAAACCACATCCCCTTGTCTGACCCTCAATCTCTTACACAGGCATGGGCAAAAAGGATGACCCCAAGCTGATGCAGGAGTGGTTCAAGCTGGTGCAGGAGAAAAACGCCATGGTGCGCTACGAGTCGGAGCTGATGATCTTGTGAGTGAACTGGGGTTCAGGAACCAGCTACGGGGTTAGCCAGTGTGTGGCACGTCACAGCAGGGTGGGAGAGCTGGTTCCCCAAGTCACCCTTGCTGTCTCTCTCCGTCCCAGTGCCCGGGAGCTGGAGCTGGAAGACCGCCAGAGCCGGCTGCAGCAGGAGCTCCGGGAGCGCATGGCTGTGGAAGGTAAGCGGAAGGCGAGTGGGTGGGAGGGCGAAGTGGGCCACTGTCCCAGGCCACATGCCTGATGCCTTCAGCCACTCGGCAGATCACCTGAAGACCGAGGAGGAGCTGTCAGAGGAGAAGAAGATCCTGAACGAGATGTTGGAGGTGGTGGAGCAGAGAGACTCACTGGTGGCCCTGCTGGAAGAGCAGCGACTACGGGAGAAAGAGGAGGACAAGGACCTGGAGGCTGCTATGCTGTGCAAGGGCTTCAGCCTGGACTGGTCCTGAGCCTGGCTACCGTTGGGTTTGGTTGATTGGCACCCACCTGACCCGGCTGCGTTATCCCAACCCACCAGATCCAGGTTCAAAAGAGACCTGGCATCCCTGGAAGGTTGCACACAGACACCTGTGCTGTGGGAAAACCCCAGGCGAGGGTTATCATCTGAGGTGACTCCACCTCCCAGGAAGGGCCTCGTGGGACTCCCCGTTCAGGAGGGAGGAGACGGGTGTTTGACACGTGCCACAGGGGGCACTCCTGCAGGTCCCCGAGGGCTTGCTGCCTGGCACCTCTTCCTTCCTTCTGCTGGTAAGAGAGGGAAGTGACTCCTCTTCAGAGCCACTGCCACCCAGAGCACCTGAAGAACCGAGTGGCTACTGTCCTAGCACCACCAAAGAAAGTGCAGAAGCATCTGCAGAGAAGCTGTGGATAGAGGGGATCCAGCAGGGAGCAGCACCCATGGGGGTGATGAGGGTGATGACCACCCTCCCATTGCAGGGGAAGCCAGACAGTAGGCAGGTTCATTATGCAAGTTAGGAGGGCGCAGGAGGGCTCTGCCCCCGGCCCTGCCACACACTGGATTCCCAGTGGCCAAGTGCCCCAGGCCTCCACATGGGCAGTGGCCTGAGGCCCGTGGATTGCTGTGTTTTGCTTTTAGTTCACAACGATTTTGACACTGGAAAGTATTGACTCTGGGAGAGCTGAGGGAGACCCTACATGTCGACCTCCCCTCCCCTCATCGATAGACAGGCGCCACCCCTGGTCGGCACCCACAGCAGTACAGGAGATGGCTCTCCTCAGCATTTTTCTGTGTTTGCACATCGAAACGAAACTGACAACCTGACCAGACACTCAGCCACTTCAGACCCTTTTTGTCAATTAACTTATTTTTTTAATACTTGAAAGGAAGCAACTTCATTTTTATACCTTTACTAGAGACACTGATTGCCTGTCACCTGCGTGTAGGACTTGCCTGGGAGGTCTTTGTGCAGCCCTGATGCAAAACTGACCTGATCTTGTTACATGCATTTATTTATTAGCCGTCTTGATAGTGTTACTGACCTGGTTGGCACCAGGGAGCGGCTCAAAGCCCTGTGGGTCCTTACTCACAGCTTCTCTGTCCCCTCCTCCACCCAGCACCCTGTCCCTGCTGGCACTGGACTTCTACAGGGGAGCTGCCTCTCTGCGAGGACGCATTTCAGCACTAGGAGGTCAGGCCTGGAGACAGACCGGCTGCTGTGGCCTCTGCTCTTGGAATCATGGCTCGGCAGAACCCACTTTGTCCAGTTTTGCTGCCAAGGTTTTTCTTCCTGTACAGATGTTAAAGGTGGAGGGTAGCCCCTCTTCACGCTGGCTGAGACCAAGTGGAGTGTGACCTTGTCCTCAGGCCGGCTGATGGCAATGCCCTGGTCCAGCTGGAGTGGCGTGTGTGCGCTGGCCTCCCCTCAACACGCTGGACACTCTGATCTTCCTTGCCTGTACTAGGATTTTCTTGACCTGGCAAGAGCCAACAAGCACCATGTAACCAGCTCCATAAGCCAAACTGCTCATTTCTTGTGGTTCACCCAGAGACCGGTGATGGGGGCCAGGGTGCTTCTCTTTCCAAACAGCAGCCCATGGACCAGTGCATGGGTGCCACACCAATCTGGAAAAGGGCATGCCAGCTAGGCCTGGTGGGAGGAGCTTGGGAAGAAGATATGCCATCCCTGGCCACCCTTCAAGGCTGCCAAGGGCCCACACTCACCCTGGACTTCCTGTGGGAACCACACTGTGCCTCAACTTGAACATCCATCTAACTCCAGAGGAGCAAACAGCAATCTCACCCTTCTCCTCGTGCAAAAGCTGCCATCTCTCCTGTGGAAAGACAGGTGTGCTGCTAGCAACCGCCACAGCTCTGACGTCATCAGTTCCTGGTCTCTGACATGGCATTACTGCTATTTTTATTCTCTGTCTGAAACGAGGAGAGGAGGATGTTCTGGATTCCATTTTCCAACCACAATCTGCCAATCGAACTGGACTCTGGACAGGACCTTTATCGCCTGTGTGGCCTTCTTAACCCTGTCTGCCTCCCCAGTGCCACTGGCAATCCCAGGAAGCTCAGCCCTGTCATTTCTGCTAACCCACAAGAAAGAACCCATTTCCTGAGTGACTCAAGAAGGACTCAGGGGCTCGCAGCGCCTCTTGTGGCCTCATGGGTGTCCCCTCCCACCTCTGTCCTGGTCAGCCAAGACCCTGTTGATCTTTCCAAAGCACACGCTGCTTCCTGCAGTCACTAGGAAGGGGGCAGAAATCCACCAGCCTGGGAGACATTCCCCAGCTCTCCAGTAGCAACAGCATGAGAACTTGGGGTTCTCGTAGAGCACCTTCTTTTGGCCCCCAGTTTGTAACCACTAGTTTGCCGTCGATTTCAGCAGTCCGGGGACTCGAGACAGGAAGTGTTCTCCACCTCTGGAAATGCATGCAGGTCTAGGCAGATGTTCTTCCCAGGAATTACGCCTTCACTTGAAGGCCGGAAAGAGAGGGTATATATAGCCACACACTTCATACATGCATATGATGCCAGAGTGCGTTTGAGTGAGCCCAAACTCAAGGCTCCCCAGTGAGAGCCAGGCCAGAACCCCAGGTTCTAACCCTGCTCAGTTGATAAAGGGCCTTTCCCTCCAGCAGCCGTCCTACGATAATTTTGACCAGCAACTGTAGACTTTAAAAGATAAGACATTTTTCACTGGGACAGGAGAGGAAAGAGTGGGGGCGGGGCAACAAGTATCAGGGCTGGGAATGTAGCTCAGTGGTAGAATGTGTGCTTAGCATGCAGAAGGCCCACGGTTCAGTCCCCAGTATCACATTAAAAAAGAAACGACCCACAAGAGGGAACGGTCTGTTTTATGCGCAATAAAGTTTTTTTTTCTTTTTTTAAGAAATAAAGACTATTTCTGAAGCCATTTTTCTTCTCTGGGCATTGAGCCAAGACACATTTCCATGTATCTACACAAATCATTAGCTCAGCTTGTAGATGAGTGTCTACAGACAGAGTTGCTCAAAGAATATAGCTTTTCCTTTGGTTTGTGATTGTGATCCCTCTGTGTTGTCCTGACGCAGCCATCAGGAGCTAGCTCTTGAGAAATTCTCTACAGCACCCTGCTTAACAAGAAGCACTGAGTAATGCCAAGGAAGGAGCCAGCCCCTTAGGACGGGGTCACAGCAGGGCGTGGTGGCGCAGGCCTTTAACTTTAATCCCAGCACTCAAGCAGCAGAGGTAGGTGATCTCTGTGAACTCAAGGCCAGTCTGGTCTACAAAGCAAGTTCCAGGACTTTGTGGAGAGACCCTGTCTCTCTCTTTTTTTTTTTTTTTTTTTTTTTCTGGTGTTGCTCAAATTCTTAAGGTTCCAATGTCAACCCAAGGCAGGATTCCACCAAAGTTCATTCTGGGAAAGTAATGCGTTAATTCATTACAGAGCTTAGGTTACTTACAGGGGTGTGGGTGTTTCCCCCTCCCCAAAAAAAAGAAAGAAAAAAAAAAGACTGCATCTGGAAAGCCTCTACCCAGCAGAGGTGAGGACTTCCTTGTAGCCATGGAGATGGAGTCCCTCTCCCCTAGACTTCCCCACCTATGTATCTTGCCCACGCCACAGGCAACCCAGGCCACCTGCAAGTAAGACAGAGTTGTATATAACAGGTAGTAGGCAAAGGCTGGGTGACGGTCATGTGACTCCTACCCCTCCACAAGGGCCTGAATCATCAACAAACTTAACGGGGATGCTCTTTTGCAAAGGGGTGTGACTGAACTCCACAAGATGGCAGTTACTGGTTCAGAGGGCAAGCAGTCAAAACAGTTGAGCCACCAGCTTTTCCAGAGAGAAGGCGCGCTGGCCAAGGCCCTTGTGTAATGGGAGGAGAAAAGGAGTAAGTAAAGAGCCACCTCAGGAGGGACAGACATTACTGGGACCCTGGCCTCCCGAGGAAACAGAGAGCTGGAGCTGCGTGGACACCTGGGCCCAGCCATCTTTTTTAACCCCCTCAGTTTTCACATAGTAAGCTTGAGAAACAGGTGGACTGTGGCCAAGCTTTACAACAACCCCAGGTGGCAGGAAATGGTAGCTTTAGGCAGGCAGCCAGAAACTCTTTCCTCCCAAGAAACCACCATTCCTGGCCTCCGGCCGCGCAGCTGCCTCCTGTCCTAAGAGTGGAGAGGAGAGCGGCTCTGTGCTCCTGTAAGGTGAGAGGTGAAGCTGTCGTCGGAGAGCGCGTCCTGAGTCTACCGCAGACCTTGGGATGTACATGCCTTCAGCTGTACAAGTCAGACGTGTGAAGCGTACATCCATGCATACAGGGCTCCCCTCTGTTCACTTGTACCTGGCTGGAGAGGCCAGGTTTAGGGAAGGGTGTAGGTGTGGAGGTTCCAGGAGAAGCCTCCAGACAAGGGCCTCAGGCTCTGGAGAGGTGTGGTGGGGGCTACCTCTCATGGCCCAGGGGAAGGAAGAGCAAGTCACCTCCTGAAAACAGAAACTCCTAGAAAGGCCTCTTGACGGAAGGCCGTAAAACATGCGCATAGGGAATTCCGTCCCACTCTTCCTCCTGCTTACAGAATAGATTTAACTGCGTCCCACTCTTCCTCCTGCTTACAGAATAGATTTAACTGCGTCCCACTCTTCCTCCTGCTTACAGAATAGATTTAACTGCGTCCCATTCTTCCTCCTGCTTACAGAATAGATTTAACTGCGGGGTGTTAGTCATGATTCAAACATCTATCTTCAAGCTCCCTCTGTCTGGTCTCCCAGACTGCAGGGTGGCTATGTTATAGAGAAAGACTGTTTCCTCATCATTGGTAAGTAGCCAAGCACTTCCTAATGATAAGAGACAGCCCTCTGGTATGGACACCTTACAGCCCACACTAGCTTTCTGATGGCCTCAAGAAGCTGAAAAAAGAAATGAGAGGGACACAGATACAGGGGAGAGAGAAAACCTATCAACCAAAAGTTTAAGTTCCACAGTTCTTTAAGGTCCACTTTATTTTAAATGTTTTTTGGGGGGCGGGGGGGGAGGGCAGGTCTGTGCATGTGCCTACAGGTGCCAGCAGCGGCCAGAGATGTCAGAGCCCCTGAGGCTGGAGCTACAGGCAATTGTGAGCTGCCTGACATAGGGGCTGGGAACTTAATTCGGGCACTCTGTAAGAGTCGTGTCTGTTCTTAACCACAGAACCATCTCTCCACCCCCAAGTTCGACAATTCTGTACCTATGTAGAAATTTGGAGTTGACATTCAAAGCATTGGAACTTGAGTGATGCTGCCCACAGGTGTATTTGGCCTCACACAGATGTGCATACTATTTAAAATAATAGAAACAAGGGTCAGGAAGGATGGGTCAGTGGTTAAGGGCACTTGGCACTCTTGAAGAGGACCTGAGTTTTGATTGCCAGCACTCACATGGCAGCGTAAAACTATCTGTAACTCCAGTTCCGGGGATCTGACATCCTCTCTCTGGCTTCCAAGGTCACCAGGCATGTGCTTGGTATATGTACATGCATGCAGTCAAACACGAAAATAAATCTTTTAAGTAAAAATCTTTAAAACCTTGGAACCATGAAGTCCTATGTGTTGGTTTTCGGAAAGATTTAAGACTAGCACACTACACAGCTCGGCTGGTAGTGTGCTAGTCTTGCACAAAGCCCGGCGCTGGCGTCATAAACCCAGGCATGGTGACCCACACCTATAATCCCAGTACTTGGAAGATGGAGGCAGGAGAATCAGAAGTTGAAGTTCATCCTTGGGTACATGGTGAATGTGAGGTCGGCCTTGATGGCATGAGACCCTGTCTCAGAGTAAGAAGAACATAGGAGCAGATAGTAATCATCTGTGTACACACATGCAGCTCATCATCCAACCTTAACTCTACAGCAGCTAAGTCAGAGGCCGTCAGTATCCAGACATCCCTGGCCAGTCTCCAACCATAAGTGACATTCCCTTAGTTTCCCAGATGTTAGGCATCAGCCAGGAGAGAGGTGTCTCCTAGCCTCCCAGTCTTCAAGCTCCTGGTGAAATCTGAAACCTGTGGCTGCCCCTTTGCAGACCTCCCTAAATCCCGTTTCATTTTCCAGTCTGTTATGGAGCTGCATCAAGGGACTAGCCCACTCACCATGAGAAATTTCCCAAACAGATTCAGAGTACCTGCTTTTCCCAGGACCACAGCAGCCAAACAGAACCTATGACCAGGGTCCCCAGGACTACAGCAGCCATATAGGACCTATGACCAGGGTCCCAAGAAGTTTTCATTACTGATTTGGGCCCCAGTGCCAGGAAGGTAGGAGGGCCAGCCTGAAACAGGCCTTTTAATTCTCTGCTTCTCCTGCTGGAAGCTCAAGGACGGCAGTGCAGTCAGAAAGATGGCTTAGCTGTAGCAGGTCAAAGCACTTGCTTTGTAACCCTGTTCAGTCCTCAGAGCCACAATGTGAGAAAAGTTGACCTCTGACCTCTACGTGCTTATCCCCCACACACCATAAATAAATACAAACTTAAGCCGGGCGGTGGTGGCGCACGCCTTTAATCCCAACACTCAGGAGGCAGAGGCAGGCGGATCTCTGTGAGTTCGAGGCCAGCCTGCTCTACAAGAGCTAGTTCCAGGACAGGCTCTAAAGCTACAGAGAAACCCTGTCTGAAAAAACCGAAAAATAAAAATAAAAAAATAAAATAATTGCAAACTTAATTCAAAAAAAAGCCTTTTTTACTATTTAAAAAATTTTATTAGCAAGCCGGGTGGTGGTGGCACACACCTTTAATCTCAGCACTTGGGAGGCAGAGGCAGGTCCACAAGAGGCCAGCCTGGTTTACAAGAGCTAGTTCCAGGACAGACTCCAAAGCTACAAAGAAACCCTGTCTCGGAAAACAAACAAAAAAAATTATTAGAATATATTAATTATATAGAATGGGTTTTAGGATCCCATTTTTGTTATAATGCATTTAATTGTGGGCCCATGGTTTAAAACTCTTTTTCCTCCAGGCCAGTGTAGGCTTCATCCGGGCCCTTCCTCTCTTACATCTGCTAATGATGGTGCTGTGACCCTTGAGAAGGAAAGTGTTTTAGGTTACTTGGCCTGTGACATGAAGAGCCCTAGGACTTTGACTTGTCCTCTGCCCAGTCTGGCTGCTACCCAGCTAACTGATCTTGAACTTGGCTCTCCAGATCTCTCTCCTTCATAAGCGGGACAGAAAAGAGCCAATGGCGTTATGTACTCCGCGCCTATCTCTCAGGCTTCTGAGTCACAGTCACATGCCAGCAAGCTGTCCCTGCTCAGAGCCCAACCCTCAAGCTGCCCCTGCTCAGTTTCTCGGAATTCCTGAGGACATGTGGATCCCAGGGCAGAGTGTGAGAGAGAGGAAGGAAGGGAGGGATTGGCTGGATTTGTGGGGAAACCCTGTCCAGAAACAAAGAGCCCAGAAATAGCTTGTCACGTCATGTAACAATAAAAGAAACAAAAGGCTGTGCATGATGGCTCACACCTGGAGACGCAACACTCAGGAGGCAGAAGCAGGACTGACATGAGTTCCAGGCCTGCCTGGGCCACAGACTGCTCTAGGTCAGCTGAAGCTACAAAGTAAGCCCATGCCTTACAGCTTAAAATAATCACCTGGCGGTGGTAGTGCACGCTTTTTATCCAGCACTCCAGGGCAGAAGCAGGGAGATCACTGAGTTTGAGGCCAGCCTGGTCTATGCGCAGTGAGTTCCAGGACAGCCAATGCTGTTACAGAGAAGCCCTGTCTTGAAAAACACTAAAATAGCTGGGTGGTGGTGGTGGCAGCGCACGTCTTTAATCCCAGCACTCAGGAGGCAGAGGCAGGTAGATCTCTGATCCAGGACAGCTAGGGCTATTGCGCAGAGAAGTCCTGTCTCGAAGAACCAAAACAAAAAAGAAAAAGAAAAAAAGAGAAAAAAAAAAAAGAAAAACACT